TAATTTCTAAGATCATAAACAAAATGGAAATAAAATCATTACCTCGTCAAGCATAATGTTATGCATACTGAGTTCTTGAAATATCGAGCTGTTCTTGATGGAGTGGATAAATGCAAGACCTTGAGCTGTTCCAATAGCTATCTTAATCCGTATTTCCCATGGCAATACCTCTTCTTATGTTGACAGAAACATGATACTACTATATGTAAAGCAAAATCGTATACTATACCGATTTTTAGAATGGAGCAATGTATTATTTAGAAGAGATCTTACTTCCATAAAAGTGATAGTCCAAACTTCCTTTGTGCAAGTATTCGAAAACCAAGAAGAGTGATTTGTTATCGTCACAAAAATAACCCAAAACTTTGACCAAATTGGGATGAGAAATCTCTCCTACAGACTTCACTTGTTCCTATCCACAAAACATATAAGGTCTTGCTTAAAAGTTACATATACATATTACTTACATGGAAATGAACAGACACTGCTTACCTTCCAGTGTACCTTCCAGTATTCTAGAGGGCCTAAACTATCACAATCCATGACAGAAACAGCCATTCCGGTTTCATTTTTTGATGGAGAAAATGTGATCTCGTCGATGTAGCCCTTGTAGAATTTTCGAATAGAGTGATTGTCTGAATTTCTTGGTTGCTTTCTTCAGTTCCGTGAGGCTGAAGACTCTCGTTCCGTGATGCTCGTTTTCTGTCTCAACTTTTCATATTAAGTTACGTAAACAAAATTAAAATGCATTTACAAACAGAACAGAGATGTACCTGAAACAGAGATGAGAGGCTCGTAAGCCATTGAACGAGGTTGTTGTTTGAAAGGCTTTAGAGAGTTTCCCATTGTAATTGTTTGTGCTTACTTAGAATTCAACACTTGATAAGTCATTTGCTTACTTAGGCCATACAAAGGAAAAAAGGAAACCACAATGTTTACTATGACTATATCCTTATAAGGAAATTTTCAAGACAAGTATTCTTCTCTTGTTTGACTCTGTTGACTTATAGTTTTTGATTTTTGAAACAACCCGACCCGTTTTTTTTTTTTATCATTGGATTCGAACTAGCATTCCCATAAATGCTAACTCTCAATAACCCAATCAGACCACACGACAACAATATAACCAGCGGAACAATAAATCAATTCTCCAACAATCTAATAACCAATATCGATTCAATAAACAATAACCATAATCAATTCCAAAACACAACTCAAAATCTAACCAGTTCAACAATTCCAGAAACACTAACACCCTAGCAATTCTATCAATCCAACAGGAATC